TGCAGATCAATTATTGCGCCATTGTCCGTCAAAAAGTTCATTCCGAGAATTACGTCGCGGGAGCAGTTAGGCAAAATGACGAACTCCGCAGGGTACGTAGTGCCGTCTATGGTGATGCGCGATGTGCACAATTCCACTTGGGGTCACGAGGTGGCCTCCTGCTGTGCGTATGTGCGGACCGTCCCATCTGGTCGTAACTTTCTTTAGCTTGGACGCGAATGACCCGCTCATGACCGAGTAGTCGGCTCCCGTGTCGATAAGGGCGACTACGTCAAGGCCGTCGATGCACAACTGGACGCCGGATGCCGCTTTCCTCGAATTTTGGGTGCGTCGGGGCGTCGTATTGCGGCTTGCGCGTGTTGATGGTCGGGCACTATGCATCGTCTTCTCAGCGGCTGGCTTCGTCATTTCGGGTACGCGTCGCGCAGCGTAGCTGTCGTCGTTTTCGGGGGTCGCGTCAGGGTGTCGTCGGGTCATCGGGATGAGGGCATGTCGTGAATCACGGTCTTGCGTCGTTGGAGGGTTTTCATTTTTTCGTCGTTGTGCAACTTCACCTCCAGAAGTTGCTGCTTTTAGTTTCCCCCTCGTGGGCTGGGGGACCTTCCACAGGCGAAGTCAGCATTGCTGCGACGGTTGGGGGATTGGTACGGGTAGGGCGACGGCGAACGGTTGAAACGGGATGGTCCACGGCTGGTGTTCGACAGGTATTCTTCGATCTCAAATGGGCGCTGGCCGGCTCGCGGGCGGGGTGCGTCGACGGAGAACCCACGCAAACCCAGCCTCTTGTACGGGCAGCGGCGGTAGACGTGGTCGGCCTCTCCGCAGTGGTAGCACAGCGGACGATTATCTGGCGTTCGCCACACCTCGGTCTTCCTGGGCGCCTGGTTTCGGTTTACAGGGGGTCGGGCGGGCGACATTGGGCGGCGGTACGGCGGGGCCTCTTGATAACAGGTTGGGACGGGTCAGGGTCGACGAGCAGCAGCAGAGTAGGTCATCGCTCGTGGTTCGTAAGATGCTTCCGACGGCGTAGAATTCCCCAGTGCTTGCTGAACCTCCTCACGGACGACGTCAGTGAGGGAGGCGACTTGGGGCTGCGGCGTTGCTGGGAACAATTTCCTCAGTTCCTCGCGAACGACGGCGCGGATGGTCTCCCGCAAGTCTTCCGTCGCCAATCCAGGGGCGTTTACTGGGTTCACCGAAAGGGTGTTGAGTGGTCTATCGTATTGCCGCGAACGCATATCCAAGGTCCTCTCGATCATCGAAGCCTCGGTGACGAACTCAGCGACGGTCTTAGGGGGTTGCGGATGAGTCCAGCGAAGAGCTCTTGTTTAACTACCCGCATCAGAAAGCGCACCTTCTTCTCTTCTGCCATTTCGGGGTCAGCTCTCCGGAACAGCATCTTCATCTCCTCAGCGAACAGTACAACACCTTCGTTAGGGTATTGCATTCGCACCTCCAACAAAAGGGCGGCTCGTTCTTTCCGCACAACCGTAGCGAATGTTTTGAGGAATTCGCTCTTAAAGACAGTCCAGTCGGTTAGGGAGCCTTCATGGTTCTCAAACCACGTTCTAGCTGCATCCTCCAAATAGAAGAAGACATGACGTCATCCGTCATGACGTTCTTCGTCATCCCACCTGTTAAAGATGCGGATGCACTCTAGCTTCTCCAGCCACTCTTCCGGGTCTTCACCAGGAGATCCTCGGAATGATGGGGGCTCACGAGGTTGTTGCAGAACGACGGGAGGGTTGGTAGCGCTGGTCATGGTGCCTGCGTTGATCATCGTCGTTTTTACATCTTCTTTCCTCCCTTTATCCGGGAGCAGTCCAAACTCTGGCTGAAAGCCTTGCTGTCGGCGGCTGACACGAGTTGGGCGTGCTTGTCGTGTTGGGCTTGCTTGTCGGCTTGGCAATGGCTTAGGGTTCATGTACCTCGCACCTCCACCAGATGTCACGTAGCAAAGGACGACGCAGTTGTCTATAAGGAAAACAAGTTTATTGGAGCGAACTTGTGCTCCCCTAACAACTGAAAGAATACAAAGGCGGCGAAGCAGCGGTCGGCAAAACGACGTGCGCGCTAGTGAGCGTCGGCGATCGAATGTCGCGGCATCGGCTGTGCGGGAATTTATATCCCTCGGCGCGAGGGTTTCTCGAATAGTCGAATTGTATCGAGAACGCTGTGATAGCGTTTGTTCGAAACGCTGTTTGTTCGGAACGCTCAAAGCGTTGTTCGATAGCGTTTGTTCGAAACGCTGTGATAGCGTTTGTTCGAAACGCTGTGAAAACAGTGATAGCACAGGCCGGCGCAGCCAGGCCGAAAAAACAAAACACAAATAAACAAACCCAATGCATGGTTCGCGGCAATATGTGACATAAGGGCCTACTCTTTTTCAAAAAACCCGCCTTTCCCAACAAATGGTTGCAAGGTGCGGTTTCTTCTACGAGGCGACAACGCGAGCGCCATTCAGTTTTGTCAGCTGCATACAGCGTGTTAGTCGTCGTTGATGTCGGGTCTTACTATATTGAGCAACGAAGAAATCTATTCAGGGCATGTCATATGCTTCACGTGCCGGCAGGCCGAAATCGGAAAGCGATGCTTCTGCACTCAGATAGCAGCTGCAGTCATCGCTGAACTTGTCACTGGTAAGTTCAGATGAGCTGGCACAGCTTGATTACACGTTGGACGACATCGTCAGCTTGCTTTTTGCACGTCGGGAGAGGCACATGAGCCATGTTTACACCCTGCCCAGCCATAATGCGGTGTGCGGATCTCGTGACGTCATTCGATACCATGAATGAAGGAGCAGCCCTCTGTTTCGGTTTTGACTCGTCGTTTATTGCGTAATTAAAATTTTTGACACTTGCCTGGGCAAAATGAACCACCCTTGCTTTTGCAGTACTGTCAATACTATTTAAAAACAACATTATCACATTATGGTCGAAAATGCACCCGAGTTTCCTTTTTACCTTGAAGTGGATAGTTGCGTCAGGGCAGATTTGCCTTGGATAAGTGCTTTCAGTATTGCAGTTAAACCACCTTTACAGAGGGTTATGCGCAGACGTGCGAGCAAATGATACTTTCATTTCAAATCCATCAAAATATTCAACAACTGAAATTCGAGCCAAAGCGAATTCGAATACTGTAATATTTGTTTGAATATTCAAAGCATTCCACTATTCACTCAAGCTTACCAGTTAGTCCTATCTATTATATTGTTATGCCCTTGATTTCCCTCTATTGCAGTATCTTTGCAATAAGGTGCAAAGCTGTAAACATGCAAAGAATGTGTTACAGCTCACGGTAATGCTATAGAGCTAAGTCTGCGATAAAATTCTATTAAACTTGCAAAAACCTACGTCTTCAGCACCCTAAGAAAGCTTATTTGATGGCTGCATACTGTTCTGTGACAGCCTTTTGCATGTGTTTTTTGGTTAGCCCATGTTGCCACGAAACTGATAAAAGGTTAACCATGTCAAAATAAGATACGACTCTAAAAATATTCATTGTTAACGAGCAGCATGCGGTGTACAACTTGATGTGCAGACTACTTCACCAATCCAGCTCACTTTGATGAGGTGAAGCGCGAGCAGCCTTACTGCACCGACTTGTGTTGGACACCTTGTGACCCCCGATGGTTTGTTGCTTGCACTGGTGCAATCTCAGAGGTCGTGCCTAGCCTCATTGGCTGCTGAAAGTATTTGCAGGCGACTGTAGTCAGAAAAATGGATGCACTAGTCATTTCTCACCACTGTATGCAGGCAACCAATTTCCCACAATAATTGTTAGAAACTATGCGAACAGCAGCTCATCATCGCTTTTATATCTCATCTTTCTGCTGCTGACCACTTTCACTGCCTTTGTTGTTGAGGAGTTTAACTGTATACAGTCGAGCCCGCTTATAAAAAAACCTGAGCGTGACACGGCATCAGTTCACTGTATCCTGAAGTTCGGAGTAAATGAAACACAGCTTTAAAAGAAGTTCCCAGTGAAAAGACAAAATTTTTTCCCCAATATAGCAGAAGTGATAAGGATGATCTTGAGTTTATTTAAAGCAGCAGCATGCCCTTCGCCGAGGCGCGTGGCATATACGAGCTGCGCGAGGCCATCAATGTAGCCATAATGGCTCCCTAGTTTTGTCAGCCTCGTCATCCGATTCCTCCAAATCGCTCTTGCCGTGCACTTCATTCACAATGCTCTCATCTCTGCACGGTTTCGCAGTGTCGGCATCGTTATCGGCTGTAATAACATTATCGCAACAGATGTCCCATGTGCCCTCCCATGTCAGAGTCGATGCACTGCCATAAATCACCACCAGAGTGGTCTTGTTCGGAAGCTTCAGGCTCGGCATCAGGTCCGACATTGACGAAGCCAGCCTCGCAAAAACAGTTTCGCACACATGTAGCCATCACAGCCACGCACAAAGCCTTCAGCATCTCCACAGCTGAATACAGGGACACCCGAAGTGGCAAGTTGGCCGACCGGTGTTTGAAGGATCGGTAGCAGTGTGAAAGTGCTGGCCTTGTCTGATGATGCTGGGTGCCCAGTGTAGCGGGCGGACAAAAGACAGAGGGGATGCGTAAAAAGAAACTGCCAGGGAGAGCGACAACTAGAGGCCTGCAGAGGCAGGGTCGGCGCGTAACAGTAAGAACCTATGGGCACCACGCTGATGGCTTATCGGTGGTCGAAAGTGGCATCCCTGGAAGCAACCGGAGCGCAACTCCATTCAGTGTAACCGATCGGCGACGCTCAGAGTTGTTCGTTGTAAGTGCTATTTTGTGCCATTGAAATAATGTATGTTTCCACAATCATGCGGGTATCTTGCATTTCGAGCTAAAGTTCACTTGAAGTGGAGCTGTTATATGTGGGCTCGACTGTAATACAAGGAGACCCTTTCTGACTTTTAAAAAGAATAGCACTTTAATAATCAGTATGAACTTTTTTGCATTGTTAGGTTGAATCGCTACATCTGGTGAATATGCATCTCGGTGTTGGTGCATTTGCAGGTCTGCATGGATGGACTAGAGGAGGAGTCTAAACTTGTTGCCAGTGTGAGCATACGCAGGTGAGTTAAGGGGGGACGCGGCACTTCGGGACCGAAAATCAGCCAAAAAATCGAGTTTTCGCGGACCTTCTTTTCGCGTTCCCGACATCATTGCGCACCTATTTACAAAATTTCGTAGCCGAATACCATCAACTTTTATCGTTATTCAACTTTAAAAAACCGAAAACGGGCGTCCTGCCCTTTAAATTGAGGGCGAATAGCGCAGGTTTCGGCTCTACGATACGCGGGAACTACGCGCTCGATCGGCGCCATTTTGGTCTTGTTTGAAAGAACGCGTTTTCAGCTGTTTTTTTTATTCAGTAAGCAACATTGAGCGTTTCCCCGGCTCGAAAAACGGGGCCTCAAAGACGAAGAGCCGCGCTCACTGCCATTGGCTAAACGGCGCACGTGACTGAAATGGCGCTTTCCGGTTGGCTGGAAGCTCGCGGCTTGCGCCTGCATACGCGACCCGACGCCATTTTGAAAGGGTTACCGCTGTGACGCCTCGAAATCGGCAGAGCACTCTGAAGCTTCTGATCGTATCGCCATGCCTGGAAACGCAAAAAAGTATCGGACCGTGCACGCATTTGGTCGCAGGAAACGCAAAGGTCGTGGGAGAAAGTCTACGAAGTCATCAGAGCCCTTGGTTGACTCCGACGAACGATGTGTCGACGCTCCGCGGCCGTTCAGCGATGGTGCGACCGAGCGCGTTGCCTCCGACGACGATGACGGTGAAGCGAACTCCGGACGACTACGAATCGACGCCAAGGTGGTGACAAACGCCGAAGTTGAAGAAAATCATGCCCGGGAGAAAGCGACGCTCGACCGGCTTTCATCGGCGCCAGCAACTGCAAGGAAAATTGACTTTTTCACCGCGAGTTGTAGCGAGGCAACCGCACAGGACTCGGACCACGCTGCTCCTTATCTGCTTATGCATCTAGATATCCTAAACGCGATAATGGGTGCCTTGTGTTGCAAAGCCTGCCACGGACCGGCTACGATCGTCAGAGGGGATCGGGACTACGGACATGCCGTGGAAGTGCTAGTGCAGTGTGAAAGGTGCGGCGAGATCGCGAATGAATGGACTTCGACCCGCGCGAACGGCACGAAAACGTGCAATCCGTTTGAAGTAAATCTTCTCGCTTCGAGGGCGATGGTGGCTACCGGCAACGGCCAAACGAAAATGAACGATATTTTTGCAACAATGGGCATCTCACACCGCGGTATGCACCACAAGACGTTTCAGCGGCATTTGAAGAACACGCTGGCACCCGCTGCAACGCGAGCGGCTGAGTCCGCTATGAGCGAATGTGCGGAAAAGGTTAGAAAAATTTATGATGACTTGTGCTTCGGCCACCGGGGCAATATTGCCGTTAGCTACGACGGCACGTGGAAGACGCGAGGCCATTCTTCCCACATCGGCGTGGGCACAGTTATCGAATTATTTAGTGGCTACGTGTTGGACTACGTCGTTCTTTCCAACTTTTGCCTAGGCTGCGAGGTGGGCCCAAAGCCTAGTAGTGAGGGCTATCAAGAATGGAAGGCTAACCACAAATGCCAAAAAAATACGAACAGCAAAGCGGCGCAAATGGAAGTGGAGGCGGCTCTAATTCTATTTCAGAGGTCGCTTGAACGCCATGGCCTGCGCTACACAACTATGCTGTCTGATGGAGACTCTAGGACATTTTGCGCCATACAAGACGCCAAGGTGTATGGTTACATTGACGTGCAGAAGGAAGACTGTATTAATCATGTACAGAAACGGATGGGCACCGCATTGAGAAACCTGGTGCAGAAACAAAAGTGCGATGGGAAAAGAGGCCTTGGTGGGAAAGGCAGGCTCACAGGTGAGCTGATCACCAGGCTGAGCACATATTATGGCCGGGCTCTGAAATCGCATGAAGGTGACGTGGGCGAGATGCAAAAGGCTGTGATGGCCACATACCGCCACGTCACCTCCACTGATGAATGCTCGGACCACAGTCTGTGCCCAGCTGGTGAAACTTCATGGTGTCGGCACAATGCCGCAAAAGCAAAGGGTGAGCCCGACCCCAGGCATGCCTACAATCTACCGAAAGACGTGGCAGAGGCATTACTACCGGTTTATACCCGGCTTTCGGAAAGAGCCCTGCTTCAGAGGTGCGAACGCGGCAAAACGCAGAACTCCAACGAGAGCCTACATTCGGTAATCTGGAGTTTGGCCCCCAAGGAGCACCATGCGTCCCTGTTCGCTGTTGAAGCAGCTGTTGCAGAAGCAGTGCTGCGCTTCAACACGGGCAATTTGAATTCTGCAACGGCAATCTTAGGTGAAATGGACATGAATGCGACAAGTACTGGTGCCAGGAGAGCGAGAGAAAAAGACCACCGTCGCAGCATTGTCTCCAACAAGAAAATAACAGCCTCATTGGAACTCCGGAAGCTAGTGAAGAGGAGGCATGAGCACAGAATGCATTCAGACTATGCTTCTGGTGCGTTTTGAGGTTGTCTTGTTGCATTTTCTGCAATAAAAATGTGTGCCCACGTTTTTTCTCGATTTCTCAAAACGACAATTTTCATGTGCTTCCCATTATGCCGGAGCAATATCTCTTGTTCTATCTGGGTTATCATTACGATTTCTTTTTTGTAACGAAGATGAATGCAGGGGATGTGTCGTAAAGTAAGTTTTATTGTAATAATTTTTGGAGAAAATTCTCTAAATGGATCTTTTGTTTCAAGTGTAGATGGGGAAATTTTTCATGTCATATTCAACATCCCACAACTTTGCTTCGAAATAGCCCAGAACAATGATTTATACTTTATTGCACACTGTGAACATACCGAATTGGTTCTATAGGTTGCACATCAATATCCAAGTTACAGTTAATTAGCTAATTAGGCCTTAATTGAAAAAAGTCGCAGTTCATTATATCTTTAAAACTAATTGTCACAGCAAAAAAAGAATTAGATTTTTGAAATCGGCAGTAAAATCTACATAGGCTCTCCAAATTTGACTGAGGTACTCGCAAAAATAAAAGAGTTTTTGGAAGGTGTAGCATCCCCCCTTAAGGGGGGACATGGGTCTTGGGGCTCTCTCATTTATTTTTGAACCAAATGTGACAAAAGTTGGCAAGCTTACTTAGTTTGTTCTCCTGATTCTAAAAATGTAGTGATTTTTTCTGTAGCTTCTTTAGTTAATTAAATAATCAAGGTAACAATTTCTATTGTTCATACCACAATAGAAAAATAACCACCAGTCAAAAATTTATAAATGACATAGAGATTGGCAGTAGAAAGCATAAGACATACAACATAGGAAGCACTTTTTTGATTGGGTCATTAGTTCTTATTTACAGTACACTAAACTTCACAGCTCTGAATGTGGCCATTGTGTCGTCACACAAAAGACTAGTTTAAAAAACTTGCATCAAGGGAAATCAAAATCTGCTTCCTATGTTGTGTGCTCCAAACGTATAGCTTCATGCTGCAAAAAAATTATTCTGCTATCTGTAATAGTTTCTAATATATTGCAGGAATTTTCATGCAGTGTGTACAAAACTGCCATTTTGAGCAAATGAAGAAAACAAAAAATTCTGACATCTTTAACTGTAAAAATGTATGTACTTAAAATTACATAGCCAATGACATATAAATAAATGCTAGAAAGCCTAAGGAGTGCAATGCTGCAAGCTGATCGAAAATTGAACGAGTACTTCTCAAATTACAGCACAATAAAGTTCATTGCATGTAAACAAAAACAAAAATTTTTATAATAAAATAAAAAAAGGAGCTGCCCATTAAAAATAGACTTTCAGCGTTATTTTTTGTGCACATTTAGCTACCTTGTGCAAAAACAATTACAGCTCTAGTTGTCTTAGGTCGACTTTTACCGAACAAGCAAAAGAAAGTGAAATTGTAAACGTGGTTCCATCAGGCGGCCGAGCTGCTTCGTCGGCACCGTCACCCACGAATGTGCATTTCTGCTCCATCGCTGCAGTGGACGACAACTCGGATAACTTTCGCTCGCTCCTCTTCCAAGTCAGATTGCTGCCAATAGATAGTATATAGACGCATGCGATTGCTGCTCGAAGGTTCCGCGGCTGACGGACTTTGCACATGCTCCGTGACAACTGATGCGGTGGCTAGGCCTTCCATGGTTGCATCGACGACTTCGCCATGGGACTCGGAGAGTGTAGCGTCTCGGGGGTTTTGCGGTATCTCGGAGCGCTTCTTGAAATTCGTAACTAGCGTCCATCGCACCTTTTACGCACCAAACTTGTGCCACGTGCGGAATTTGCGCTCGGGATTTGACATCGTGAAACTTCTCCGCTGACACTGAGGCAAAATGGCGCGCATGGACGCGCGCCTCAATACCCAAAGCAGACGAAGCCAGAAGCCTCCACCAATAGGGAGGCAAGCTTAAGTCACGTGTGCGGAGTAGCGAATAGGAAGGCGCTTTTATACTTTTTTTGCCGCTCTTTTTCTAAGCTGCGACTTGTTGAATTGGACCCGTTCTGGCGGGAATATGAAGATGAAAGACGGCTCTCTCAAGTGCGACCACACATGAAAGGGCAAAGGCGCGTCACGGAAAATGTGCGATTTCAACGTCGATTTCAGCTCAGATTTAGCTAGAAAGCACCGTATAAAGGGTTTTAGCGGCTAAAATAATGATATTATAGGCATGAAATTCACAGTATAAGTGCATTAGTAGCTGTAGATTTCAAAAACGCAAAAAAAAAGACTAGTTTTTTTACGATTTTTCGGTCTCCACAACCCGTGTCCCCCTTTAGAAATGAAAGACTGAAAGAAAAGAAAAAAATTCTGATGTGGCCGGCGCTACATCTCTTGTAAATACTTTAGTGCAAAAAGTCACCTGTTTTCGCATGCACGGCTTTCCACATGCCCGCGATGTCTGCCTCAATTTCAGCTGATGTCATGCTGTTGCTGTACACTAGTGAAAGTGTCACGAGTACTCGCGTCAACTCCGAACTCATTGGCTGTGTAGGCGCTGCCTTCTCGATCTCTGGGTCGGAGTCTTTGGAATTCTCCATAACCTGACGAATGACTTCGTCATTAGTCAATTCCGCACACAGCTTAGTTAGGGGCTTTGTTAGCGTTGGCAAAGCTTAAAGGATTGTCAAAGCCGAAATCAAAACGCCTGTGGCATGCAGACCACCGAAAGTAATTTTCATGGGTGTAAGTTGGTTGCACACTCCATGCGAGAGGGTCGTCTTGGCATCCAGTATGAAGTTCGTAGGCGAAAAGGGTTCCGGAGCGTCCATTACATAACCGCCTTCAAGTCTGCAGGCATGCCGACGGCAGACCTTAGGTCAATAGCGTAGCTTTTCCAACTGCCGGAGCATAGCAACATGTGGTTGTGACCGCAGGTTGACTAAGCTAAGGCTGGCAACGAATTGGCGTGCGCTAGATTGTGGCATTTGCGATTTCGGGGGTATGGTAGTCGAAGCGCGGTGCTGCTGCCCACACCTGCAATGCGAGTATGGTGGATTCGAGGGTACGAAAACAACCAAAATGGCGGCTTCCATAGTGACTTGGAGTCTGCGGTTGGTGGCAAAAAGTCTGGAAAATCAAATGGCAACAGCTATAAATGTCTGAAATTTAGGACATTTTAGTACATCGACTATGGGAAACTTGACGGTGCTACCGATGAGTTCGGGAAATCGGGCATGCCTGGAATTTCGGGTGTCCAAGAAATTGGATGTCGATTGTATACGCACACCACTTGCCCTATGTTCTTTCATTGCCTTCCGAAGAACAGCTTGAGGTACCAATCATTGCTCCAAAATGCGCTTAGTCAGGAGAGGAGGGCAAGCGAGGGTCTCTGGTTCAACAGCATGTTCAAAGAATGGTGGTATTTTTCGTATCCGGGGACATTTGTGTGAGGAAGTAGAGTGGTTGCCTAGGTGACAAATCCGCCCTTTGCTGCCTTTGCCCCCTTCACTCGAACTGCTTATGTGCGTGATTCGCTCCAAACAAGGACTCGTGCATGCATCAAGTGCCTGTCACTGTTTGATTCTTTCGTTTGCTGTTGGGAAAACAGTTATGGCGTGCAGATCTTGCGCGCGTGACCTCGACCCGCAAATGACAACACTTTAAGACACACTCTAGCTTTCGTCTTTGCCATCAGCAGGTGTGCCTACAAGCTTACTAGTGTTTGCGGTCTGGCTAGTTGGTAAATGGCTAAAGTAGAATTTATGGTTATGTAATGAAGATGATCAGCGCAAATATTTGTACAGGGACGAAGAAATGCAAACACTGTTGCAAGTGTGCTCTTGTCCATGTCTGTGTTTCTTTGTCACTGTCCGAGCATTTGTGCCATCAATTCTGTTTTAGCCACATACTTACAAGCTTGAAAGACTCTTTCAGGATAGTTGATGGGACTCCCAACTGTTAACTGATACTTACTTTCACACGTGCTACCCTCGGTTTAGCTTGCGAGTGCGATTGTTTTTATGTCCGATCTCAGTGTTCTTTAGCAAGCTTATTGTGTGGCACATGTCAAGTTTCAACCCGCACGCTGTGCCCAACAACTGCCAGCTGCGTCAGCTTGGTGCGAAGTCAAGGAAACATTTTACAGTTACGTTTAGAAGGGTTGGCTTACATCTTCAATGAAAACAAGAGGGCGCACATGTGCTGCTCTGTAATCACGATTCGTGGTCGCCAGTCTTTTTGAGACTCGCAACACCAGCAGAGTCTGCATAAATGAAGAAGTCATAAAAGTTGGCAACTTTCTACTTTGGTGCATTTTTTGTGCGTTTGTTTTGCGTTTCTCTTTCATTATGTGGGCACTGCAGGTCCACGGGCGCTGTCAATCGGAATCGCACGACTGCCTGTTGGTAATGTTCTGTGCGTGTACAGATTTCCGAAAATATTGTTCTGGTTGTGGTGAAAATGTTTGTGACTTAAAAGTGACTTGTGTTGTAAGTGGTCCTTGCTGTACTTATTTTGCTCAGGGGCATTAGAAACCATTGTTCTAATTAAGTTTCCATTTTAAATTTCAGTGATGGCTCAGTCCACATTTCGTGCACAGACAAGCACAGTGGCCGCACTGAATCCGTCACGCTGGATCCGACGGCGATAAGCGACGCATCGGACACTTCAGGAAGCTGACGATGCTGCTCGTCCGACCTAGGTTTCTCACTTAAGCAGCCCCGCTCGGCTGTCGTAGTCAGTGAACATGTTTTTCGCCGCCCTCCCTGTTTGTACATTGGCCTTTCTTTGCACCTGTCAGTGGCATGGGTGTCGGTGCCCATTGTGATTCATGAAAAACTTGACAAAAGAAGTGACGGCAAGAGCCCTTGAAGAAACGGTTTTTTACATCGCCGTGATGGTGTTGGTGTTTCTTGGCTGGCAGTCGTGCTCTTTGTTTTTGGTGTAAATATGGAGTTGAGCGTTGGTTGACGTGCCATCACTTTATGAAAAGCAGAATGTGCTGTGTGCTTCTCAAGACACGCACACTGAGGACCAGAGCTTGTCATTAGATACAGTGATGGAATGGACTATAGGTTTTTCTTTTTGTTGGACTTCAGAAAGGCAAAAGGTCAAAGACCAAAATTTACTGATGGTGAGCACCATAGGCTATTAGAGCATTGCAGCATATCCTCCACATATTGTTATTCTCCCATAGACTTCCATGCAGGCCGAGACGGCTAGGACTGCCAGTAGCAAGTCTGCGAGGCTTGAAACTGGCCTGCTTGCACGAGACTGCAAATCTAACTCTCTTTAATAATGTAATGTTCTCCGTACTGCAGATTTCGCCCTTATGTTATTCATGCATGCAGTCCGAAATATTTTTTTTTTCTTCTTTTATTGATTGTCTGGACCTTCCAAGCCCTAGGAGAAGGTCTGGTATCAAGCAAACGAATATTGCTTTGTACGATACAAGACCTTTCCATGGGAAAAGAACACATCAAGATATCCTGATCAGTGACGAGTTCCATTTCTGAAATTGCTGTAGTGATTACGCACCAGCTGTGCAGTTGAAACGCATGATAGCACTCTCATTGCTTTCATTTTTTATTATCCTATTCATATGCAGCCATGTTGCTACATATTGCCAGCAGATGCCAATTTCAGCAACTGATGTTCATGATGCGCAGGCTGGAGCACTAAGCTAGCCCTATAAATGTTTTCTCACTATATTGCCTTTCTAGACAACCTGTGGCAATGGCGTCGTAGATGATCTGGAACATGAAAAATGTGCATCCGTGATTCATTCATTTCGCTGCAGCTCGTAAAACTTAAAGAACACACAAACGGTTATTTTTTTGTCATTAAGCATGAAATGCCAGTCCAGCGGAGGTGTGAGGTTTAGCAGCCGCTAATATGCACAATGTGGCTGTCAGAGGAACTACTTAGGTTGTGAAATGGTTGGGCTGTACAGCGCTACTTTCTCTACCGAAATACAGCTGCATGGTTGGTACATTTTAAAGACAGTGCTGAATGCAGTCGTAGAAATGTAGAGAAGGTAAAGAGAGAAACATTTCGTTGCCAACATCACAACTCTCTAGACACTGCTCTTAAAAGAAGCTTTTATAATTCTTGATTTTTATGAAACTTGGTGAGCTTATGCATATATGTGTGCTGATTTTAAATATGTAGTTATTTTTGTTGTATAAGGTGTACTTCTTAAAATACAAAATATTTCATGTGCCTTTTGGGGAGCAAGATTTTTTTTTTTTTTTTCAAGCTAAGAGAGCTGCAAATTAAGTTGACATACCACAGTATGGAATCTGGAATCAGGACTGTGTGCAGTGCTACAAAAATGGATGTTCTAAATCAATTAGAACAAATGTTATCGTAAATTGTATGGTGTGTGAGTCAATTTCAAGCTAGAATTTCATTGGCAAGATTTCAACATTCCATAACTTTTATTCTAGTTGGTTTAGAACATTCATTTTTGTTGCACTGCAATCAGCTTTGATTCCAGGTTATCTTGATATGCTTATTTACTTCATAACTTTCTTAGTTTCGACAAAAGCTTGCTCCCCCGAAAGGCACATGAAATATTTAGTACTTTAAAAGCTACACTTAACACAAGAAAAATAATTGCATATTTGAAATCAGCACAGATGTACATACACTTGCCAAGTTTCATCAAAATTGATCTAGAAATAAAAAAGTTTTTTAAGTGCCATGTCCCCCTTAAAATAGTGCCTGTTCTTCAGCACCTTCGTGAGCTGAGAAACGTTACCTTTGCTACGGACGATGAGAGAAACACACAGAACGTGTAAAGATAGTTAAATCTCTAGGTTCTGTTATACAGTGCACTTGAACCTATACATTTTTTAGATTCTGCATTTCAATGCGCATGTGCCAAGGTGAAGCCCTAAAAATTGAGGTCAAAAGCACAATTGAATATGATACAATCAACAGTTTCAAACAAGCCTTGTCTCCAAAGCTTAATCAGCACGCGGGATATCTTCTATTTTGATCACTTACGGTTACGAAAAGCTGTCACCTCACTGTGTACTTTTGTTTCTAAGTGAGCTGAAGCACCTCCAAGTGTTTTCACTTCAAAATTTTTCTATATGTGCCAAGACCACTTCAGCGCATTGATACTGGCAAGTCATGGTCGCGTGGCCAACTCTGTCTGAAGTTGCTGTGTTAAGTATTGTATATCTTGTGTGGCATATATTCTTTGTCCTTGAAGCTTTTTGACAGCAACTGCACTTGCTGAAACGAATTTCTGAAGTGACTGTTTTTGGAGTATAATATAATATAAATTGTCATTCCCACACCTCAAATGTTTTTTTTTTTAAATTAGGGCCCAGTGTTCACGATGTGGAGTGTGACAAAACTCACTCTCAACATTCTCTGTTCTGGTGATGAGAGTTTTTAGTGCAAATGTGCTTGTGAAGTTTGCATTGCAATTAAAGATTACCAAATGCTTAATTAATACTAGAGAAACACACTGTATGCAGACAAGAACATTATATTTAGTGCTGCAAGCTGTTGCACTGAACCAAACAGGCTATTTAAATACACTCTCATGTACTATATATCTATGACATCTATGTCATTCTGTAATAAATATCCTATCGGGAATTGACATTTGACTGTTTTCTCTTCATGCATGCCACTTTTAGAAGTACAGTCGGAAATGGATAGCATTGAACTCGAAGAGGACCGCAAATTAGTTCGATATATGAAAACTTTAATATAAAAAAATGGAGGCCCCGAGAGCTTACCTGTAGCGGATCAGCATGTACAGTAGGCGCATTCAAGAACGGCAACTAATTCCACACACACGCCATAACAAGATGATTTATTTGCGTAAAAAAAATCGCTAATCTTGGCCTGCTTCTTTGTTTTTGAAATGCTGAAGACCCTAATCTCGATCTTATCAAGGCTGTCCAGGTGTGATAGCCCAGTTCCCTCCATGTGGCCAATACAGCGGCGAATGATGCCGAACACTGCCGCCACTTCAGCGGCAGAGTACGTGCATGTAGCCAGTGCCTCATGCGGACGATCCTCCTCTTCACATCAGCTGTCCGCCTGGACACCGCAGTCCACTTCCATGAAGTCGTCTGTAGACACGTTGTGGGGAACTGCTGCCGAGAAGCGGACGAGAACTCTCGAAATGCGCCGTCTATGCTCTCGTCGTCTTCACCAGTTTCCGCAGGGTCCGCCGTCTCGAAGCCTGCCTTGCAGCAGCAGTTGACCACTGTGTCCATCTTCACACCTCGCCAGGCATTGGAAAAACTAATCCTTCCTTGAAACAACCAAATATTAGGCCTGAAATGCATCCCAAGTTTGTTTTTTTGTTGAATTAGTTTTGATCAAAGAAAGAAATACTCATGACATTGGTCTTTAAACACGACATGTCGAATGATTGTCGAACATGGTAGTGTCTCCAGCAAAGTGATCCTCTGCAGCCATACATGCGCAGCACAATGAAGTTAAATAGCTGCTAGTTATCTACTCAAGAATTCTGCAAAGTGCGTTTCGAGCCATTTGAAGAAACGCACCTTCGAAGTTTGTGTTCAGTTGTACACACTGCCACTGATGGGGCTTTTAAACAGATTAGCGTTTTCACCTTGGTAAACATCCCACCTTTTTTGTCAATTTTGACTTCAGTTTGTCTGGAACTTTCCTGACCCAAAGCATAATCATTTTACGTTTTCACCACATACAGCTTCACAGTAAGTGCTTGGGACAGGGGGAAAAAAAGCTGCAGTATACAGCTTGGCAATGCCCTAGGTTCACCGTGTTTAGTTGGCAAAAGCAAAATAAATTTCAGGACAATGCAAACAAGCAATGCATGTGCTATACATTAGAAAAAGGTTATACGAAGATTGAAATGCAGACATATTTAATAAAGCACACTTAAAATACACTCAAATTTCATTTTACCAAAGTCGCATCTGCCACAAAAATACTTTACTTACTAAAGTATTTACAATTATACGTAACACTGTATCTATGACAAAGCTATAGGTAACTTCATTTTGAGGTTTGTGTGTAGATGTATTAGAGAGTGCGCACATTTTCACAAGTTACTTTGAAATTATTTAGTGTGTTAGGCAAACAACAGCTCGGTTTTAAAATCGTAGTGCAAGGCCTCGGAACATACCATTGTTCGAAGTAGCAGTTTAGGTGCATAAAAAGATTGATTTGTAGATTAGCTATAATTCGTGTATAACCATGACTTTACAGTATCGGATAGAAAGAATAATAAGAAGTATTTGTATAGCGGGTTTAATACAATTTTGTATTTAATGAATGTTAAGTGTGGGTGTTCATGAAAGGCTCTTAACAGAACCTAGAGCCTTTTTCTGTAACGTTAGGATTGCTTTGTTTCACTACCCCAATTCAATGAATAAGATAAACCACAGTTCTCAATCTCTGCCTTGCAATTTTTTCTTTTTTCCTTGTGGCATGACGAAAAGAATTTTCCTTTGAAGTTGTCCAATTGATGTGCTTGGATTTGTTACTGTCACTACCCATTTCGTCTCATTTGATGGTTAACGGTGCGCCCTTTGTTCCCAATGACTTCCAGCATTACACGCTTACATTTCCTGCGACTACTCTTCAGTGTCACAATAAGAATTGTAAGAAACCATGGCTGCATCCTCCCCTAGAACGTTCTTGCCTGTCTGCATCAAAGTGGCATCTTTCATCACCTTGCCTTCATCAGCGTCTGGAGCAATCCAACGGAACGCTCACCTCGCAGCGACCATGAAAGTTTTGTATCACCTTTTCACAATGTTGTATTTTTTCCAGAAGTTTGCAATGTACCATGCTGGCTTTACATGTTGTCAAAGAGACAGCTTTTATTCCACCACCATGAAATAGTTCAGCAAAGCCTTCATGGAAAGTGTTCGGTTACAATTGTCTTGTCCCAGCGGTAAGAAGATTTTGTACGGTTCAACACTCCCCCTCTTGCAAGAATGTGCATTCAGCGCGGTTGGTCAGACTTGACTTCCCGGGTGTGGGGCATTAGCTTCGAGACCCACTGCGGTGAACACAATTCATACTGTCTTGTGCACTTATTCATTTAGAGCGATTCGTCTTACGTGAGGCAGATGTGCACATTTGAGCCGACGCTGAAATGTTAACACGTTTAAAAATTGACTTGTGGAGCACAGAGGTGAACAGTAAGGTTCTGTGTAATCGAAATGGCAGACAGCTTTATTCATAATACGTATTGGAGGAACAAACGGGGACAGAAAAAGACATTTTGCATCTTCAACAGTGATATACGATATGTCACAACATATTGTATCAATACATTGACAAATACTGTCAACATAAAGTAATGTATGTATGGCAGCTCAACGTCGGTAGTAAATTAATGACCACCTAGCAAGATGAAACTTGTTTACCAGACCAATTGGGCACTCTTTTTAAACAGTCTTCCTGTCCCTTCACCAATGAGAGCCATTTGCACAGTTGCTCATCGATGCTGAGAATGCATATTTTAGACAAATTGTTTAATACAACCGATAATGTTTTTCAATGAAGTTTTGTAACGAACATGTTTGTGATGAGTAGCATTCGTACAGTGACAGTATCTTTGTATTGTCTACAGCACGACCACAACTCAACTTATCTCTTTAACATGCAGCTGATAGTTGCTGCTGAGAGCAACTAGTTGATTACTAATAGTGTTTGCTGCAGTTTCTGTGCTTGGTTTGTTACTGGTAACGGTATCTTTTGCATGCATACTGGGTCAGTTGATGGGTGTGGTAAGAATATGTAAGAATCGACTAAGCAAACCATTCCTTGATATGGATGCTGTACTATAATGATTTATTTAGAACCTAGAATGCCGTGTTTTCAATGCTGAGATAACAAGGATATCACTGATGGTTACAGGCATGGTAATAATTCTTTATACTGCATTTCCGATGGAGGCGGAAATGTTGTAGGCCCGTGTGCTCAGATTTGGGTGCACGTTAAAGAACCCCAGGTGGTCTAAATTTCCGGAGCCCTCCACTACGGCGTCTCTCATAATCATATAGTGGTTTTGGGACGTTAAACCCCACATATCAATCAATAATTCTTTATATGCAGCTTTCCATACTGATCAATAATATTTTTTTCATCAAGCATACCTATCTGACAATCAAGGGTTTGGTAAATTTGGCACAATCTGGATGGAATCTGGTAAGAAAGATTGCCTTGTCCTTCACAACACAAGAAGTATCTTAGCTGTTTCACTCATATTCTGGTTCATGCAAACACTGAATGTAATAACATGAACTCTACAATCCTGGAAACTATACACCTTGCTTTGCAACATCGCAAAATAACAAACTCCTGATAAATATGGCAGTGAAGTACAGGAATGTGTGATACCATAAAAGCGTGCAGTGGCCACATCAGAGATCTGGGTTGATAATAAGCCTGCCCTTGGCACCCTTAGAGTTGATGATGTCATGGTGCGACGCCTTAGCGTCGCCCAACGCGTAGGTGCGGTCCATTACGGGATCGAGCCAGCCGTCTTCGATGCCCTTGACGACGGCTTCTGCTGTGGCTTGCCACTCCTCCTGCAAGGGATGTACAGTCACATTATGCAATGAAACCCGAAAAATATGTCTCACTATGTGACCTGAATGTGGCTCCACACAACGACCATGAACCTAACCAGTTGACATAAATAATGAAGTAAACATATATAGCACTGCCAATAACCCACAAACTATTTGTCTATAACTAATATTAAATTTAATTCAAGGCAGTTTCTGGTTGGATGTCATTTTTTTATAGTGAGATGTGAAACTAGTTTTGAAGTGAGCATGCATGAACCATCAAATCGTACTGGTCAAGAATTAATCATAAAATGAATGCGAGCCCAAATGACTTTTGGCCAGCATTTCCATCACTCTAGTGAAACTTGAGGGGACACAAAAAAAAAACAATAATTTTGGTTGTATTAGCAGATGTCCTTTTTGCAATACAAGCTGCACTACTCTTACCATAACAAGATGCTTAGTAAATGAGAACACATACGAAAAGAAAATGATTGATATGTGGGGTTTACCGTCCCAAAAGCACCCCATGATTATCAGAGACCCCATAGTGGAGGATTCCGGAAATTTCGACCACCTGGGGTTCTTTAACGTGCACCCAAATCTGAACACACGGGCTTAGAGCATTTTGGCCTACAGCCACCGCTGCCGGAATTTGATCACGCGACCTGCGGGTCAGCAGCAAAGTGCCTCAGCCACTAGACCACCGTGGCGGGGCAAAAAGAAAATTCATGACGTGACGCGACTTTGCGGTTATCACACCAACTTACCGTACCATCACAAAGTTTGACAGCATCTGTTAAGGCTAGCATAGTTCTTGAGCGGTAAAAGCAAAATGAAGAAGGCAACAGCTAGGCTAAAAACAAATAGCTGCGAAATGATGGCAGCATGCTGAAGTACATGAAAAGAGAGCATACTAGGTAACGGGAAAGGCAAAGCAGCTGTGCGAAAACCTCGAGGCGATGGAAGGTTGGCACAAATGACAACATGCCTGTAAATCTACACGAGGTGCGAACGCTCGGTTTCAGCGCAAGTGTCTGTCTCTGGTGCATGGACATCTGTGTCATGTCTGTGGTTTGACTCGAACCTCTTCTTGCCGAGAATCAACGTAAGAACAGCCTGCATCACCAAGCTAAAGCCTGGAATCAATCTAGAAGTAACCAGATTATGGTAGTCTTCAGAATCGTCTAGTGTTGCTGTTTCAAGGCTTATGCACGGTTTAGTGCAAGCTACGCTATTTTTTTTCCCTAAGCTGCAGATTTCTGTAACAATGGCGGCAAAGTTCCCCAAAGACCCGGCATTGAGGAGTGTACAGATACAAGGGTGTACACCAATAAGCCCTCAAAGGAGCGTCGGTCACATGTGTATCTGTGTGGCCGTTTGATAATAACAGATGCTCTCTCGATTATGGGTGAGTCAGCGATCAGCGCTTTCCGGTACGACCATCTGATGTTTTTTTCCAAGTTCACTTGTCATTTCACGTGGCTTCACTTCATTGTTGCCTTTCACCGTCGCATTTCATTGTTTTACTCACGAGCGTTGCCTGCAGCAACAGAAGTGTCGCTGCAGGCAACAAAAGCATGTGGGTGAAGGTCCCATTCACAGAGAGAGCCAAAAGGGAGCATTGCGCTATGTTTGGAGGGAGCATTGTACTCCCTCCTAGAGAGCACTTTGCAATGTTTGGAAGGAGCATTGTTCAATCTGCGGGAAGAAAAGAAGAGCAGATCAGGCATGCACAGGCAAAGCTTCTTTTGGCCCCAATTTTTTTTCTCTGTGTGCAGCCATAAATGCATAGGTACTAACTTCCAAAGTACTCAATCCTTAATTATTACTCCCTCTCATCTAGCGTTTCAACATATGTAGTGTTGCTATCATCAGGCGTGTGCAGAGCTCACTACCAACCACTGCACGTCATGACAACTGTGGACAACTCGAAGGAGCCCTGCACAGGAATCGTGCACTTCTGGCACCAATCTCGCCCTCTTAGGTGAGCCCAGTACTGTGTCCACATTTAAATCGTTCTCTTCCGAAGCTAAAAGTCTTACTTGAGTAGATGCAAACAACGATTCTCCGATGATGGATGTCTCCTTGCCCATCATGTGCCTCGCATCGATTTTCGTGGGTCCACGGTTTCCCACAACCTGCACACAAGACATTGCACCATGAATGTCAACACTCTGCATGCTTAAATGTCGAACTACGATGCACACAGTGCCGTCAGTGCTGCTGGCAGTATCAAAGGAATCGAGGCGCACTTTAAAGTCACACTGATTCGATGATCCAAAAGAATGGGATCCAAGAAGGGAAAGGTGGAAGCTTGCATTGAGAAATTCGAAAACAGTTGCAGCCTTTGCAGTATTTCTAAGAAAGTCCGCTTGTCGAAACGACGGCTTGAGCGTCCACCCCCTGTTTTTGAATTCATCGCAAAACTGATACGGTGAGTACAAGAAAGTTCAACACGTTGGAAAAAACAAGGAAAGCATTTGTTGATCTTTCCGGCTATAGGTGAAAAGAACATAACCTTCGAAGTGAACCTGTAGCAGCATTTTGCAACCCCAGAAGCCTGGAAAGACTCGAAAAAGAGCGATAATGTTCGCACTCATTGGCATCCTGTAAACTCAACAGTACCCACATTTGATCAGATCGATGTGCAGTATCACAATAATCATTATCAGCTCACTTATGTCTGCAGCCTGTTTTGTCTCCAGTGCAGTCTCTCAATAAACTTCAATTTGTCCTGCTTTGCAATTTACCCTGCAAACTTCTTAGCTTTATAGATTCGTTTAATTGGCTGCTATCCTCGGATGTGTTTAACATCTTTTCATAACCATTCTGTTTCTTACTGACCGCTGGTTCTCTATCCTACAAATTAAATGGCCAGCCAATGTTTATTTCTTTAGTTTAATATCAACCAAAATATCTGCCACGCGAATTAGTTCGCGGACCCATTCTGCGATCTTCCAATGTGTGTTAGTGACACCTATAACTTCATGTTCCACTGTACACTGTGTGGTCCTTAACTTTTTTTTTATATAATGCAAACCTCAACATAATAAAGAATAAAAATGTGACGCAATCATTTCGTTAGAACTGTTACTTTATATTTTGCCCTCATGAACAGCACAGACGGTGTGAGAGCATAGCATGCATCAGGTAAGCCAGAGTCAGCATCCTGCTATGTACTCTTAAAACTAAAGGATGTCAAAAATTGTTCCTATACCAAAATGAATGTCTAGCATTTATAATGCACTAGGAGACCTCTGAAATAATTAAAATTCATTCACAGTAATTAAAATTATGACAAAACCATTTTGTGGCATTCAAGAACTTTGTTCTGTTTAAACACAGCCGAAAACTAAACAGGACCTTATGAACTGAAATATCTGGACTTTAGACCCTGCGCTAAATACAAATGTGTGTATTGTACCCATAAAGCTTGGCTGAAAACATGCAAAGGAAGATTAAAATAAAATTCGCATTAGATTTTTTTATAAATTGTTATCACGTGTTTATTTTATTTTCTTGTTATTTGAGTTTTACAAGTTAAATAAAATGTCTTTACTAATGCCATACAACTCGTAGCAAGTCTCGCACGAGACATGTACAAGATTTTTTTATTGGTTGCAATCAAGACAATCAGACATATCCAGTGCAATGCAGAAAAAAAAAAGCTATGTGGACTGCTGAAGCTATTATTTGCTTGGGTTGTTGAATGCAGCAATTTGTCCATAACCAAGATCCTGTAGCATTAAGAAGCTTGAACTATGTTGACTTTTGTTATCATGCTTACAAGGTAATCGTGATAGCATAACATAAAAATACTGTGTACGAGTGAAATTGCGAGACTTTTTACCAGAATATTCTCAAAGAACTTTGGTGCTAAGGTTTGCATTGGTAGGCATCACATCTGGCAGGCATTGTACCTCTTTACAAAACTGATGGCTTGAAATCTTAGCTGGTGAAATTGCATGCATACTATTCAAGATTTACTGTAGTTAATGTCCTCTGCTAGCCAACATAATAATTTGCCAAATAGGTTAGTGATCAGTGCCACAAAAAAAAAAATCATTCCTCAAGCGAGCTATTCCACTGACAATGTTATCAACTCACTCTTCATTAGATTTCAGTAGTAGTTGTGCCGAGTATTTCTAATCCTGCAAAACAGAAAAGCTTGTATTTGCAAACAGAAATTCGTTATTGGCACACTTTAGCCAGACATTCACTGCACATCAAAAATCGGCCGCCATCCTGATCTGCCAATGTGAATGTCCAGCGAAGCTGTATCAAACTACGCTACTTATGCTGAGGGGGGAGGGATTATTATTACTTTAGACTAATGGTAGTGATTTCTGGTCGCTGTGGTTGATTGCAATAGGTTTCGCGACCATTTTCAGCAAGGCGAACTTGTTTCTTTTGTCACTCACTATATTCACACTGTTCTTTTGGTGTCCTGAATTTCCATGGTCTACCCATGACAGTTGGAATGAATGAATGAATGAGTTGCTAGATGGGTCTACCTTTTATCTACGAAAGCGGGAAGCACACGGGGAGGCAAGGAAGGGCAGTTTGTTCTCATTGGAAGCCCTCATGTGAAGCGCAAAGCAGCTAAAACCTAATTTTTAATGGGAACACGTGGAAGGACAATCCCAATTGCTCACAGGCACATTAGCATCCAGTATATGGTTTTGATGCTAGTTCATTGGTTTTCTTTATTGAAACGAATACTAAACTTAATGCTGCATTCCTGATTGCAAAGAAAGGTGTCCCATTTGCCTTCAATTATTGAAGAGCCCCTAAATCACCCCGAGGTCTAAATTTCATTGATTGATTGATTGATTTGGGGGGTTTAACGTCCCAAAGCCACCATATGATAATGAGAGACGTCGTAGTGGAGGGCTCCGGAAAGTTCGACCACCTGGGGTTCTTTAACATGCATCCAAATTTGAGTACACGGGCCTACAACACTTCCCTCTCCACCGAAAATCCAGCCGCCACAGTCGGGATTTGATCCTGTGACCTGCGGGTCAGCAGCCGAGTACCTTAGCCACTAGACCACCATGGCGGGAACCGAGGTCGAAATTTAGATTGTCGCATTACATTTGCAGACGAGTCCACAGTGAACGTGTTCGTCGGCTCACCTGTCCACTTTTCCAAATGCCTTTCCGTAGCATTCAAAGCAAAAACACAAGGAGCACATGCATCCACTAGCAGAGGAGGAGCATACGACCATAAGCGTCTGTTGTTTGTATAAGTGTTTTGTCTTGACGCCACATTTAAGCTACGTGGTGTTTGCTCATCTGCTTATGGAGATGAAACCATTGAGGAGTCCAGGTATACAGCTTTTGTAGAACAGTGCAGTAAATTAGGTGAAGGAAGGCACAGTGAAAGTGCTGCAGCGCACTCACAATTACGACACCATTCTTCCCCAGAAGAGTCAGGTCGTTGTCCAGGTTCACATTTGCAAGCATTTCAATGATGACGTCCAGTCCCTGTCCTTCGGTCCATTCCTGCAAACAAGGAAGGTGCCATTAGCCACGAAATGGCACAGTTTCACTTTCGCAGCATTAGTACTTTGATCTTGCCACAATTTGCATACAATGTCGATTTCTGTTTCTGTGGCAGCTTTCAAATTAACTCGACTCGTTATTCCATATACTTGAAGTTGCTGTCACCATCACAACGCAGTCGAAGTGAAACTTCAGTCTTTTTTTATTTGACAAAGTAAGTACTACTATCATTTTCAGAAGAGGTGTTTCATAGAACCTAGACCATTGAAATCCTCAAATAACAAAGGAAACTCAACCTTGTCCCATGTGTAAAAAAATTTGACAAGAAACATGCAGAAAATGTCCAGGTTTCAGATAGTTATGTCATCTACGAACTGCATCACATGAACAACAAGCCTTTTTAATGTAGAAATACTTCCCGAATATCTGACCTAGCAGTACTAATTTCAAATAAATGTGCTTTTAATTTTGAAAACTAAGCGGTGTCACCGATGTCCACCATTGCAAAACTAACACAGGTGATGACAAATAAACGAGCTATTTGCGGGCAAAGCATTCCGCAACCACAGCTAACTGCTCGCAAACTGTGGTGTCTTCCAGGTAGTGAGCGCAGTTGTGTAGCACATGCACCTGATGACTTGTTTGAGATTAGCTATCTCTTTGCTTCAGTAAAGGAATTCTCATTATTGCTCTTGGGTTCTACATGATCAATTTGTGCATTGTTTACATGATTTCAAGCATCCCCTGCGATAAACTTTTTACCGTTCTGCCAGTTATCACGAAGCACACTTGAAGTCGATGTTCTCGCATCTAAGAAACTAAATTCACTCTTACACTTCTATTTGCACTATTTGCAAAAGTATATTGACACATAACATGCATTTATTCAATTTGTATATCGGGCAGAAGAGTGAAGTGCAATGGTGTGTTTGTCCTGACTTTATAGCTTTTGCAGCCAAATGCACTGTGCGTCATTACAGGCCTTACACTAACTGCTCAGAGACCTGCCATGCAAACTGGGTGTGTGCTGTATAATGTGACAATATGATGGTGGCTGTGCTGTTCCCACTCTTCTGTCACACATACAGTCGAACCACAGCATAACGAAGTATTTAGGCTTAGGCAAATACTCGAGCACCTCAAATATTCGAGTGAATATTAACATATTCGGATTCGGCTTCGATTCGGATTCAATATATTGGAAATTTCGAAGACATTGCAATCCTTTGTGTGTTAGCTATTGGTGCAAACATTCACAGGGTGAAAATTATGAGCAACTTTGAAGAATAGTACATTCTAGAAAGTTGGAACAAAACATTCACGATAAAAATGAAACATTTACGCTTATGCTGAATCATTTCATAAGCTTTGGACGTCAAACCGGGCAGCACCCTGCAGTAGCAACAACCCACCCCTTTGAAACACCGTGAGTGGGCTTTCATTAACCAAAACAAGAAGGGGCAGACAAACCATGATCTTGGGCAGGTAGTCTTTCTGTTTATGGCAGGCGGTGAAGTCGGCACCCAGACTTTTTACGAGCTCCATGCCGTAGCTGGTTCCGGCTGTGCCAGCAACATGGCAGCCCACCAGATGTTTGGCGATCTGAATGGCAGCCGTGCCCACTGACCCGCTTGCACCATGAACCAGGAGGCGGTGAGAAGCCTGCGCTTTGGCCCTGCGTGTGCCACAATCAAGGTGAGAAACTCTTCGGAAAAGGCAAGAGATGGTGCAGGTTTCGCACGTCACGGAAGTCGGTGTAAGCAGAGCTGTGAAGAGGCAGTAAGGCAAAGTGGTGCATCTTGGTAAAAAATATGCAATAGGCATTGCAAGCATTCACTGACCACTTGCCAAGGCCGCAGCAAAACACGACATAGTGGAACTGCCCAACCACGTGTGACAACATAATCATAAGGACACCGCAAAATAATACTGGAAGTATTGATACAAAATGGTCGCTACATTGATTTAAATTATGTATAATTATCCCAAGAAATCTAAAGAATCTACAAAAAATCTACAAGCAGTCTTCTACAAGGCTATTTCTTAGAGCACATACCCATTTGTATAAACTATGTGCAAGTTCAAAATTTTATAGCGGCGCCCCCCCCCCTTCCCCATTAGGTGAGTGCATGCGGCACACTTAGCGTTTCCCCCCCCCCCTATTAAATGACTGGGGGTTGCGGCGCACACCCCCCGTGCGCACGCCTATAATTCTGAATCCGCACCCTTTGTAGTCAACACCCGAAAATCACCTCCAAGTTTCCTGAATATTCTGGGCTGGTAATGTGCACAAAAACGCAGTTATCCAGGAACTAGTGCACGCACAAAATGACATGGTAATCTTACTTGAGCACGATCGACCGGTAAGCGGTGAAGTAGGGAACGCCGAGGGCGGCCCCCTTCTCGAAGGACAAGCGCTCGGGCAGCCTCCAGACGTCGGTGTCGTTCATAAGGCAGTACTGGGCGTATGTGCCGTGCGTGTTCTTCGTGTCCCGGTTCGAGAAGAACACACGCTCGCCACGCTGCGCAGTGCATTCAAGAAATGTCAGGCTTAAGTGCTCCAGCAGTGGAGCAGCCACATTAGTGACACTGCCATACGAGACGGGTTTCCGTCGAACTCTTAAATTTCATCAGTGTACACTCAAACCTTGATATAATTAGCCAGGATACAACAAAACACCAGTTATAATTAATTAAATGAAAAAGAGCATTCCAATATAGTATTAGGAATATAACTTTATAACAAAATTTCGAATGTAACGAACTTATTTTCAAGTAAGATATAACTTTGTTATAATGAGGTTTGAGTTATTAGAAGCTGAATCCGAGCTAGTTAGTATAATGACATACTATTGAAACTGGTGAGGTATTAAGTAGCTATTAATGTACCAGAAACGTAATAAGAAATGGCATTTAAAATGTTACATCTGAAAAAAAGGACAGGAACAAGAGCCATTGCTTTTGTAAAAACACAAGCTCGTTCTCTGAGAGTGGTGCAGAGGGCATGCTGACACAACTGGGCCTGAGACTTTCTTTAAAGAGTGCCTCATAAATTTCTCAAGCAATCTAGTCGCTGTATTTGAGGTCAAGGGTAAAAAAAAATCGATAGCTTCGTCTTGAGCATGCACTGTTATCATGTAATGACCGAAAAAACTAAATATATGGCACGCTTGTGTTGCAGCAACTATTACTTGAAAGTAGCACTCTGGCTGTCATTTACACTGTTCATATCTCGGTGTGCTCAGCAGCTGCAGTATGTCATTTGCCCTGCAACACTTTTCTAAGTAACCACCAAATTGCTTCATTAAAGGAGTTTATAGCCTCATGAATTGACTACTGCAAAAATTTCCAGAATCCATCAAGTATGAGCAGAGTTACAAAGATTTGTCACACGCTGTCAATACTTTCTTTCTTCTCTCGTCCAGATGAGTGAGCTGGAAGCTATGCAGGGAGGGATGGCACGGGCGAAAGAAGTTATGCCACGTGCACGTCGTCACCCTGAGCACTTTTTCTTTTTACTTCATATTCGAAACTTACTTTCAAAGCAATCGCGTGTGCAGGCATGTGGCGGCCTTGGTAACTATAAGCAACTAGCGATGCTCATACCAGCCAATGGCCATGAATCTGGGTTTATGGCATCACTTGTAGAAGGAACAGGGAATGATTTATAGCCGACTTTGAGAATTAATTGCTAGTTCCAGGCCACGTGCTGAGCTATAATGTTTGACTCGTATGTTCTCAGGAGCATACACTGCCGATAAGCAGCATTGTCTGACCCTGCAGAAAAAGTGTTGCCGGGCCCCTTTAATGTTGTCATAAAGTGTGTCACGTGCCAGCACTGTGTATAAATGTGCAAGAACAATTTTTTTTATACTGTCTGCATTCACAATCAGCTCCATGCAGCCACATACGTTAAAGGGCAACACAGCTCAAAGCTTTCAAAAGAGTCATCACTCCTTTGGAAGCATACCTTAACATTGCTAACACCCTCGCCAACCTCTTCCACAACACCAGCACCATCCTTTCCCGGTGTGTACGGCAGTGGAAAGGAGTATGCAAAATTGCCTTCACGGATGTACGTGTCGACAGGGTTGACGCCGGCTGCCTTCACACGAATCAAGACCTGCATAGAAGCAATATGCATTGAGGGGTAAAGTTACAAAGCCGACAATAATAAACTGTGTTACGACGTTGAGGTGGTTTGAAAGCCAGCCCACTTCAACACTACACTGTATACCATTTTCATTGAAGAGGAGCTGCACGTGCATTTTAGAGAGATAGCCAGAGCTCAGACTTGGCTTGATATCAAGAAGCTAAGGGCACAGAAGGCAGTGTAAAGGGCATATCAGCAGCTAATGTTATGCTACTATCATATTATATGATTACAAGACTATGCTGTTAGATGTGAAAAGTGGCAATTGTGACTACTGCTCCTGCTCTGACAACAACAGGCCATGTGGAAAAGTAGAGTTAGGTTATGTACTTCTGGTATTTCCAAAATAATAGTTTTACAATTGCTGCAGTAGAAGGTTCATCTACAGCATGTACACGTTCGTGGATGTTTTTGTTAATCTGTGAGAAGGAAATGTCCATACACCTATAGACACAAACGGTATTGCAGTAGACAAGTGAAGCACAAATGTATAAAATTCAAACAAATAGCAGTGTGATTCATTGAAACTTCCAAAATGTAATGACAAAAGGCACTAACTACTCAATGTATACTCCATGCACCTGTCTTACTGAGGTAAAGTCAGGAGTGTGAGGTGCAAACAGCAAAGACTATTCAGAAGCAACACTCGTGGGGCTGGCACATCCCAATAACCCGTGCCACTGGTTTTAAAAAATGTGGCCAGTCATTTATGTTCTCAGTTAAGAAGAAAATTGCCTTCGTGTGTGCAATCATCTGTCTTTTATCAATAAATCATCAATCACAAATCCAAAAATTTTTCCTGTATTGAAGGGGGTCCTGTATTGAAGGGGGTCCAGAACAGATTTTCACGGTTACATTTACAAAACCACCGAGCTGGTAGTATAGATCCTTCAGATCATGAACATCGATTTAGGTGCCTGCATGAAGTGCAACTAATTACGTGGTACTGAGCACCCCCTCGCGGCAGCAAATAAGTTTTCAGCAAAACCTGTTTTGAGATGCAGCATTGTCTTATGACATCATTTGTGGGACTGATGATATTGGCTTTTTAGCAATATTTGTACCGAGTGAGCTAAGGACACTGGAGTGACTTCACGGTGGCCAGCATTGCGGCAGCATCTGATGGCATGAAAATCAACTGGAAAAAAAATACAGAGAGTGGTGTATGCAATTTGCAGCGTGTCAGCGGAGACCCAAGGAAAGTTTACTTTGGCACCAACTGCTTGGAAAGGAAGTTGAAAGTAAGAGATTGGCTAGGGAGCGGATTCATCTTCATTCGTCGGCAGCTTCCTTGATACATAATGTACTCTGCTGGCATTGTGGACATGTTGTAGCCAAGCCACTTCCGTAGCCAATGACAAAAAAAATGTTTCAAAGACTCAAGAAGCATGCCACAAGTTTCGTTTCATGTAAGACTAAAGTGGACAGCAAGACACCAGCCTCGTGTTGCAGCATGTCAAGATTGGCGTGCATGTCAAAGCAATAGTAGTGCATGGAACCTCGTCCATGATCACTGTCGGAGCTGCCAACACAACCTGTTTTATTAAAGTACACAATAATCAGACCGTAATAGATTAATGTGCGAGGCATATCGATGAAAAAAAAAAGAAGACTGATGCATTTGCAACACATGTAAAACTGATACCAGAGTACACATATGCTTAGCATGGAAATCACGCAAAATCACTTTTATTTTTCCAGTGGAACATACTGAAAGCACAGTGGCCAGGTTTGTCCTGGGCAGGCATGAAATAACAGAAGTTTTTAGTCAACTCAGCCATGATGAAGCACGTATTGAATCGGTAACCACTTTCTTCATAACAAAGAAACTAAGGTTTTTGTTGTTTATCCAAGTGTTCCACAATAAAGTTGGAATTGTTGAATATTTATATAAATACCATTTCCTATTTTCAAGTACAATTGTCAATGATTACAGCTTACAAACATTTAGGCAATGTGTCAGTTTACTCAATTGTTTTTTTTTTTTTTGCCATTATGTCCCAATGGAACAAGCTGTCTGAAGTACATTGTTTTTGGACATTGGAGGCCTCATGTGGAGCTATGTACCCAGATTGTTGCAATATTACCATGCACCATTGTCAAATATGACAATGAAGTGCAGTTTGTGTATGTGTATACATACATACATACATACATACATACATACATACATACATACATACATACATACATACATACATACATACATATGCTGTCACTGCTGAATAAAAAAAAGGCATGAACACTGCTCCGCACTGAACGAAATTTGCTATCTTGCTCAGACGATCAGTGGCGCACGTACATGGTGAATGTTCTGTATGTAATATATGTTGCACTTGTTTGAACTGCCCATAGTGAACAGAGCATATTATATTTGCGGACCAGCATTTTGGTATATGTGCGCGTTACCTCTCTGTGGTGCATTTATTTTGCGCTGGTAGAAAATGACAACATGCTCGATAACACTATAAACTACAAACACAATAAAAACTGCGCTGCAGCTGGCAGTTAACTTCGTGTCGATGTATGACCTCTTTAAATTTAACTGCGCTCCTGGGAGAGGCATGTATCTCAAATAAAATACGGTTTCAGTCGAAAATTAACCGGATCATAAACATGCCATAGCGAACATATAATTGAGCCGGTACTACCTCATATATCGATCTGGGCATTCGATCACACCCAGAAAGCCGCAGGTAATGTGACGTTCAACATGCGACAGTTTAATGCACAAATCAACTCATCTAACGATCAATTTTGATTGGTCATTACGGGTCGTCACTGTGCAAAAAAACACTTTGCCTGTCCCGAAAAGGCGCGCGCCTTGGCGCTGTATCCTCGTTAGTCGGGTACGAGAGGCCATCATCGACGCGATATACGTTTTTAGCAGAGCAACATGCTGCACGCAAAAAGTGCTTGCTGACCGACGCGTCATCTGGATCGAATAGCGTAGATTTGGCTCGCCATTTTAGTCAATCGGCTCCAACTGTAGTCACTGTAGCTTCTACAAATCTCGTGTCTGCTAAGCGCGGTGTCCAATAGCAGACGACGCGAGCAGCCATTTACCTTGCGCGGCTCCACTTCGGGAATGGGCACGTTCTCCGAAAGTTGGAGAACATGGGGACCGCCCAGTTTGCTCACTCTGATTGCTCGCATCATCTTGTCTCTCAGTCGATCGTCGAAAAGGGAGTGCTTTCGGCGCTCGGTGGACGGGCGTAGTCGTTATATTGGCGCCGTAAAAAGCGAAAATACGATAACAACGCAGCTCGAGGCGATAGCGATAGGCCGCTTATAGCCGCTTGCACAACAACATCCTTTTTTCTTGTTTTTCACTAATAAAAATTTAGTATTACATTGCATCACCTACGTGTTATTTGCAATTAAAACTGTAAAAGTTTTTATGAGTAAGTTTATTTTGTATTTTTGTGTGAAATGTGTCAACGCGTATACTCGTTTGACTATAATAATGAACATTAATTACAAATCTTAAAGGCAATGTTTTTGAGCTTAACAAAATATATGTTACGTCATGGCAGCCATCTTGATTTAGAAGTCGCTTAGTCGCTTCAAGTCGAAACAAGTCCGGCTTTTGTAGTTTTGTCTGGTCGCGCCAAACTTTTGTTGCCGGCACATTTGAACCTCTGAAGAAACTCTAGTGTCTTCGCGCGTTTCTTTCGTTGCACCAAACTCGAGGCAACTGACCCCGGGATTTCGACCAACAAAGGTAAACGCGCAGATGCGAAATCTAAGGATTGGCTTGAGTGCGTTTCAACGCGTTTCAAAGAAAAATTCCGTCGCGCGGGAACGTTTGACGTTGGGATTTGTTTGAACATCTGCGTTCGTTCCTCTGTTTTGCAGCTTTTACAATCATGGAGCCAGCACTTGAGCGAGAGTTGAAGGGCCTCAAGGGGCGTATCACTGGCATCCACTTCAGTCCGGATGACAAACAAATGGGTAAGAAGCTTCATGGTTCTTTGAGCGCCCGTTTTCCGATGTTGTCCGGTTTCTAATCGCGTATGGCTTTCGCGATTGCGCATGATGCATTTAGCACCACGTACAAGCGACGTCTTATTGGAAAGTGCTGGCTCTAGCTTGATCGCCCGATAGCGTTTGCGTTGGCATTTTTCGGATTCCACCTGTTGTTCTGGTACTCGCGGCTGCTTACATTTCGCAACGTCTGACTTTTACTGTGGGCATTGATAGCAGTTAGGGGCACATGCCAGAAGTTTCGGAGGCGGGATCAGCTTGTGCGAATTCATATTCATACACCTTAGTATCGTCAAGCATTCGTGCTAAAAAATTCAGGTCGGTTAGACGTCAGGGCATCCGAAGTCCCTCTATAAATCCGACCGTGTTGCTAGCTACGAATTCTCTTGTTCCAGCTAATACGTAAGCCCCTTCTTGTCCTTGATTAAGCATCATATTGATCTCGTTTCATTGGAAAGTAAGTAATGAGATGCAGCTATAGCTCTAGATATGTAATTTGATAAGGATAGCTTACGCATGGCATCATGGATGTAACTTTTTAACTTACTGATGCTCCAACCTGGCGGCTTTGATGACGTAAAGGCAGCCTAATCGTGATGCGGTAACTGCTTCAATGGGATAACGATGCAGCTGTAATGGCATCGGCCTCCATCTGTGTTTAGTAACCAAAAAAGAATAGGCATACGGTGTACTAATAACATGACATTGCAAATTCTGCACCATACCATGGAATGTTCCAACATTACTGTTCCAGTGATGCCAGTGAAAGCCATGTATATGGTTTTGAAAAGTGAGCGCGCAGGTTCAGTACTCACGGATTGAAACAGGACACTCGTAACGCGTGGCCGCTTGTGAGTGCTCGCGGAACCAGAGTGTTGAATTGTGTTATAGAGTGAGGCAGAGTACACCTACAGAGCAGGATTACTCGTTCCGGTCGCTAAAGAGACTGCATTTAGTTCACAAAGTGCACACTGTCAGCGTGGTGGTGCAAGGCTCGCGCGCCTTCGCATGCATGCATCCCGAATAGCGTGGACGGTGCGCACCATTTAAGCAGACGACGCTCTGGACCTGCACCCTTCGACGATGGGACACGTAATCTGCACAAGTAATAAGCAGGATACAGCTAAGATATTGCACCTGACATGTGCTCGTAGACATGATTAAGAGCTGCAAAAAAAGCATATAAAGTTTGTCAAGCTTTTTGTCACGACGAAAAAGAACAGCAGCAGTCACGGGCCTGTTTCTGTGCCGCATTGAAACAATCACTTATTATTTTCTTGTTTCACTACGAGCAACCAATATTGCAACTATTCTGCATGGCAATATTTTGTAGAGCTGTCGGCCACAGAAGAAGGAGCGAGCTTCTGCCATATTAATTCAACCATAGGCCACAGTTTGTCCTAGCGACACTAATGCATGATATTATTTCCATGTTGCATGAAGGCAAGCCTGCCACTCATTTTCTTTCTTGTAGAAGCAGAAAAGATGAAGTAAACTTTCCATGCTTTTGTGCAGGCGTTTATCAAGTCTACAGACGCATGAAAGGCACAATGTCCTAACTGAATCATGTGTCTTACTTGCACAGCATGCGTGCCGCATCGTTTAAGCACGCAGAACGACAGGGTCATCTGCTGGCGCCGCAATAAAAGTGGTGTGCAGTGGCGAGCTAGTGAGGTCGACATGCGAATGTGCGTGAGCCTTGCAGCGACATGCTGGCAGTGTACACATGGTGAACTACAGGCCAACTCTTTAGCTACCGGAAGGAGTATTCCTACTCCATAGGTGTTCTCCCCCTCGCTCTATACCACAATGCAGCACATTGGTTCTAAGTGCACCCACGAGCGGGGGGGGGGGCACATAAACCGTAAGCCACATGCTCCGAGTGGCCTATTTCCATCCGTGAGTACTGTACATATACACATAGGTCCACAAAATTGTGGAGCTCACTCAGGCGCACTCACGAAATACATTTTAAAGAGACGCTGCAACACTTTTTGAGCCTGGTTAGAAAACGCTCCCGATTTGTAGTAGAGGCTCCCGACAACACGCGGGCCAAATATTATAGGACAGCACACGGCCTGGAATTCACAAGAAATTATCAAAGTCAGCAAAAAATTGCTTTCTCTTCTCTCGACAAATCACGTTATATGCCCCAAAATCACACGTCCACAACCCATCTATCAGTCATTGACTGATTTGAACATGGCGTGCTCGCGCGATCACACTGAAAAAGTCGCGCATTCGAAAAAAAGAAAAAAGTGCTCAAGGTCGCGAAGCGCATGTGACGCTTTTCTGTGGCCCTACCATCCTTCCCTGCTTGGCTTCCAGCGCTTTCGTCGGGGCGAGAGAAGAGAGAATGCAATTGCAGCATGCAACAAGCCTTTGTAACTCACCAAAATATTACTCACTCAAGCTCATTCAAACTCATTCTCGTTGCTCGATCTGAGTCCGAGTAAGTAGACTCATCAGTCCGTTAGTCCAAACTTAGCTTTTTCGACCATAATGTCAAAGCTCTTTAATGCCAATATCTCACATAACTGCTACTCTTCATGGTACTTTTTGATATAGTGCCTTTGAATACAAGTTGAGTGGTTGCCAACCAGTAAGGAGCGTTTTCTTGAAAGAGATGACAACATAAGATAAATTTATCAAGAAGTTCCCTGGAAAAGCTAGAGGGGAATAAATAAAGCCACCCCCCTCCTCTATGTATTTTGCACCCCTTATCAAGAAATCAACCTTAAGAGACAAGGTGAGAGCAGAGTGGATTAGGGAACAAACGGGGGTTAAGGATATCATGTTTGAAATCAAGAAGAGGAAATGGACATGGGCCTGCTATGTAGCGCGTAGACAGGATTACCGCTGGTCATTAAGGGTAACTAACTGGATTCCCAGAGAAGGCAAGTGGGTTAGGGTGAGACGAAAGTTAGGTGGGCAGATGAGATTAAGAAGTTTGCGGGTGTAAATTCGCAGCAGCAAGCACAGGACTGAGTTGACTGGCGGAACATAGAAGAGGCCTTTGTCCTGCAGTGGACGTTGTCAGGCTGATGATTATGATCAATAAATATTGAGATAGTGTATGAACAATACTGCTTTGGAACGTGCGTGAGTAGACAGGAGTACAAACTGGAACCCAGGTAGGGCTCACAGTAATGCTGAAGATAAATAGATAGGACCATAGGTCGGCAAAAAGAAAAGGTGGATTTCACTCAGACTCACTCAAGAAATATATCTTGTGCTTTGGAGTCACTCGGACTCAGACTTACCAAAATTTCCCCGAGTTGGACTCACTCGTACTCACACATGAAAATTTTCTTCAATCGGATGCACTTGGACTCAAACTTCCCAAAATATTACTCGCCCGGACTCACTCAGACTTAAATTCACAGCTCGATGCGAGTCTGAGTGGGTTGACTCATGATTGAGTTGGCCAATCTATGCCTATATATTGTGCTGTGACCCTTCAGTACACAGCCAGAGTTGGGAACATGTGACCTGAAGCACAGTGAATGGCTCTGGCCAGGTGGTGCATCCAAATCCTTCGTGAGAACCAAGTGTCTAGTCGGTACATGTTTCAAGTGTACCTGTTAGCGAGTGTGTCCTCCAGGTTGGGATCTGTTAGCCAGTGGGAGGACGGTGTGCATCCTCGGCCACATAAGTGACCAAAGTGCATTGTCTCGAGCCAGGTCTGCTTGACAGTTTGGCTTAGTTTCAACCCCATTCAAATGACCGTACAAGAGTTGGATATCTGGCTTAGTGACTTAATGAGTGGTTGTTGGTGTCCCATTGACATTTTTCTGCTTATTTGGTGCAGAGAACGCCATATCTGGTGCTTAATGCATGCAGTGAATGAAGAGGCTTTTTTTTTTTGTTACACACATCCTAATGAACCTAATAGACAGTGAAGCTAAAGAATGTAAAGGAGACATAACTTTTATGTTTTATCTGTAGTATTGCTAAGGTATGAGCTGGGTCATTATATGAGCCATGAAAGAGCGAGAAAAGGAAGTTAGCTGGTTCAACCTGTGGATATGGTTCCCACCCATTATTGTCCGATCTTATCTGTAAATGAACACTGTTAACCTCAATTGAACTATTGCAGTATTATTATTATGATGTAATTGAAGTGGATGCAAAAAAAAAGTTGCACTTGATCGTGCTGCATCACGCCCTCTTGCAAAAAGAGTGTTCCACGCTCACCATCATGGCTGTGAGTGGCACTAACATTTCCACGATCACAGAAGCATAACTAACTAATAAAGTAGATGAGAAAGCGACCGCTGCTGTAACTGACTTGGTAGAGCATCGGACGCACTATCTGAAGGTTGTCAGTTTGGTCTTTACAAACGGCAAGTTGCTTTCTCATTCATTTCAATTCACTTCAATTTATTTCATAATTATCGTAATACCGTTAAAACATACAAAAGATGTCCCCTATGATTTCCTTAGCTTCATTGCGAGTTGACATCATTATGATTCATGTATCCAAATAATTTTTGCAGGGATGCTCACAATATTTACCGGATGAAGTTTTTCTTTCGTGATATGGCTTTCCTATGGCCATGCTATGGCCTTTCGTGCCTATGGTATAGGTTATTGCAAGAACAAGTAAACGAGAAACCCCTCTTATAATGCTAAAAGAGAGAGGCAGCTTACATGAATTACTGTACTTGCATGCATCCTTCTGGTTATTTTTCATCTACATAAATGACTTGACAATTTTCATTATCATTTTGATATTTGCCACTTTTAAAAGCATTGGACTTGCAGGATTTTGAGAAGAAACAAGAATAACCAACTTGTTTGAGGAAGTCTCTGATGTATAAATCACTAATGTGGATGTGAAAGGGTTGAAAGTGTAGGAGCAGTTGATTGAAAGTCTGATGCTTCAAACCAACTATGCGTCATTAGCACTCATACTGAGCTTATATATTCAGAAATTTAGAAGGGCAATTCCCCACCTCATCCTG